GAAGAACAAATGAATTTAATTACACCTAACTATGAATCAACTAGAGAATAAACAAAAACATGGAACAATTTTGAATAGATTGTAACTGTGAAAGTATCCACGATATCTCAAGTTAACACTAGAATCCTATCTCCAAATCCACAACTCCGACTTATTTTTTTTTTTTTTAAAGCATTGTAATATATGACCTCAAAATGAAATCTTCATAGTTCTAGTAACAAAAACTTTACTTGGTAAGCGATCTGATCTAAGGGAACGCCTAATTAGTAATGGAGACTGTGGGTATAAACGTAGTGCCTCCACAACAGTAAGTCGCAAGTACCTAAAAAATATGGAATAAAATATTAAGATCTGATAAATATTAGCAAAATTCCAAGTTTGCATATAGGAGTCAATGAAAATAACAAAAGATCCCATTAATTGAACATCGTGAAATGGCACTGTTGATCGATAGATGTTGGCAACAGTGAAATAAAAGATCATAAAAACTTTTACAAACCCCATTTTTTCCTTGGATGCAAAGATATTGTAAAATGAACTTTCATGACACGTGAGTTTAAATGAAGGAAGATGGAAATTTTGTCAAGAAAATGGCATATTGTTAGTAGATTATAAACTCACTTATAAACACATAATAAACATGCTACATTAAATTGTTGCTTGCATTTTCTACTTCAGGATAATGTATCTTTTTCAAGGGTCCTAGCCATAGTTGTTACGTTTTGTTGCACGTAGCTGACCCACTGTAGTCCTTGGCTCACTCAAGCCGAAGCACATGGTATGGTGGCCTCGACCCTAAAGCTAATGTGGAATGCAACTTAGCCAGAATTAACATCTCTATCGAAGCTAGGCATCATGAAGTCCGAAAAGCATTGGCTGAATTGGTTCATTCCGAGACCCTTATGCCAAACCTAATGCCTCCAAAGCACCTTTAGTATCACTTCTTCCAAGAGATCCGTTTTTACAAGTATCTTCTTCGAATGATTGATGGGACGCCTATTATAGAGTTAAAGTGTTAAGTCTTGTCAAACAAAGTAATAGCAATGCCAATAAATAAATGTATAGGTGGCTAGCAAGGAAAAAATGATGTCTCGAATTAGATATATGAATCAAGGAGATGAGGCCACGTGTACTCCCATTTGAGGGCAACAATTCATTTTGTACTACTATAAATACTCCCATATACCACCATTGCAAAACTAATGCAAGATTGAATACAAGAACAATACACTTCGCTATATTTTCTTGCAAATACAAACGAGTTTACCTTACATTTACTCACTGCAATTAGTAATTATTGTACAATTGGTCCACATATAAACCGTCAGATTCCGAACATTGTTGACTTATGTCGTTGAGTCACTCACATGTCCCTTCCTAGACCGTTCCTAACTCCAGGTTCGCTGGGCCTTCATCTCTTTCGCCTCAGTCTTTATTTTTTTTAGCCTCTCCTCAGCGCAGGCCAACTTGTCAACTGAGGCCTCGTTCCTTGTCTGAATGTCAGCCAGGGCCTCCTAACACTCCAAGGCGATGCCTAAGATCCAAACACTTTGACTCACCATTGCCTTGGTGAGGTCTAACACATCGCAAGTGGACATATACATCTGCCATCGGTCCGTCCAGAATTTGTAAAAACTAGCTGTGGCACATCGGACCTCAGTAGGCAAGACGTCAAGCAATGCAGGGGCCATGTCCTCCTCGTGCCCCGCTGGGAAACTTATGGACTTCATTGGAGTCCTCTCAACCCGAGGCCTCTTTATAGTTTCTAAGGCTCTCGTCGCTTCTTTTTCAGCTGTCTCTCTTGTAGTCTCCTCTTCTTTACTCCATCGAACCATTTCAATTTTGACCACCTTCATCACGGATTCCATTAGCTTCGGTGCTGGAAAGACCCCTTACTCGAGTAGGACACAGAGGTCCCAAATTTCCCTAAAGATTTGTTGATGTGCACCAGTTTCATCTTCTTCTAAGGCTCATCTGTGGCCTTCTCTTTACCTTTCTCAGGCATGGGGGGCACTTCTTCCTCAATTCCTTTCCCAGCATAGTCTTTACTGAGGCACTCCAGCCTGCCCCTCACCTCTTTGGCAGCACAGGAGCTAAGCTTCAAAGCTTTGGCCCCAACAGTAGAAGTGGTCTTTAGAATACTTGCCATGTCAAGAGTGGGGTACTCATTCTTCTTGAACATGTCTGCAAGCAACAACAAACAAAAGTTAGAACTTAACAACAAAATATTGAAATAAAACTCAAGTATAATTGCCTCTTATCCTTGGAGGCCATGAGTCCAAAATCGATAAAGTATCTACTCCTCTTTATGTGGTGGTCAAAGTGGCAACGCTTCAGAGGACACTTGTAGATGTCCAAGATGACGTCAAACTCTGCTTCATGTAGCTTGTAGCGTGACCCAGAATCTGCAAAGAAGGTTGCACAGGTTAGAAAAAGTTTTGGAAAAACAATTATAAATTATAGAAGGTGAGGCACTCATGTGTTTCATAGTATTGGGTCAGCACCATGCATGTTGAGTCTTTATTCCCCTTTACCGTCTGTTACTTGTCCCAAACCCAAAACCACGACTCTTTCCTTCCCTTGATGGAAGAAGACATACCTATCATAACGGGCCCATGAGCCCCTCAGAGAGTCAAGTAGTACCACTCTTAGACTCATATTTGCCTAGGACCCAAGGTTGGAAAAGGGTTTGGAAGACATGCAGAGGTGAGACAATTCATTCTACAAGAAGTAGGACCCAACTAACTAGCTCCACCCGTTCGGTAGAACTTGGGTCGGAGCCAACATAGGGTTCCTAAGCACTGCCTTGAAGGAAGGATGCAGAAAAAGATGCATTCTAGCTTTAAACAAGTATTTATTGACGCCACTCAGCCTCGACCTCGAAAATAGGCACGTTAGTGGGCTTCGGAGACTAACATTTCTATATTATGGGGTATACAGTATCTATCCCTAAGTTTGGCTAATCTCTTAAGGTCATAGCAGAATGTATCCTAGCAGTCCCCAGTCCACCTTTTAATCTATTAGCTCCTCTGTCATTGCATAACACTCAACCTTAGACCCCCTAGTTCTTGCTCCCTCACCAAATGTGGTTGTGGTTACCAACTCTTTACCCACCCCGAAATCCATGTCAGAAATACAAAATTGATAAAGATCACAAAAAAATGAACTTTATAAAGGAAAGTACCTACACGAAGGACTCTAACTGAACCGAAGCTTGACATCATGAAGTCCAAAGAGCATTGGCCGAAGTGGTTCAGTCTGAGGCCCATATGCCGAACCTGATGCCTCCGAACCACCTTCAGTATCACTTTTTCTAAGAGATCCGTTTTTACGAGTATCTTCTTCGAATGATTGATAGGACGCCTATCATAGAGTTAAAAGTGTTAAGTCTTGTCAAACAAAGTAGTAGCTATGCTAATTAATAAACATATAGTGAGCTAGCAAGTCAAAAATGATGCCATATATGAATCAAGGAGATGAGGTCATGTGTAATCTCATCCGATGGCGACAATTCAAATTGTACTACTATAAATATTTCTCCATACCACCATTGCAAAACAATGCAAAATTGAATACAAGAACAATACACTTCACTATACTTTTCTTGCAAATACAAACAAGTTTACCTTACATATACTCACTACAATTGGTAATTATTGTACAATTGTTCTACAAATGCACCGTCGGATCTCGAACATTGTCGTCTTACGTTGTTGAGCCGTTTCTATGGCCCTTTCTAGACCGTTCTAGACTGTTGTCTATCTTAACATGTTGGACTTGACTTACATGTGTGCTAGTGGGTCTAGTATCTATTATCCAAGCGGCCCTAACCGAAAGCGAGGTCAACAGTTGTAGAAAACATCCAGAAAATAATTTATTGATTATGCTATATTGTTAATTCTTGGTATCTCAATCAACATGTGACATTCAACAACAAATTAAGCCCTTATTTGTTGGAGATTAAAATAAGATTTTTAGTAAGTTTTGATAAAAATTGATGAAGTGTGTTGTTGAAAATCAGTGGGTCCCATGATATTGTTAAAATTAATTGTTATCTTTGATTTAAAATCTAGATTTTAATTCCTACCAAACAAAGGTTAAGTCTTGCTTCTAATAAATAGGGGACAACCACATAAATTAGTTTTCGCTACTCTGTCTTGTGCAATAAAAATCCATTTGATGGAGATCCTTAATGATATAACATGAGTAATGTTGTGTATGTAGCTCAAATAGAGTGGAATACGTGTTCCCTGGATCTGCTCCAACATCGGCCTTGCGCGGGTTTAATTCACTATCTGGTTGTTAAGGATGTTAAATGGGTGCAGGAGCCAAGCCTTTGCGGTACGGTACAGGGGTATTTTCTTGTATGGCCTTAAAGTCTTGTATGGGCCTAAGCTAGAGTTAGTATAAATAATAATGTTGTAACCTTATTTTTCACACTAAATAAAATTATCTTTGCTTCACTCTCGTGGACGTAGACATACCGCCGAACCACGTAAATACTTGTATTGTTTTCTCTCTTTCATCACTTTATTATTGGGCATAAAATCCAACAAATAATTGATACAAAACCCCTTGACCATTGCCTCTGTTGTAGAATACCCCATATCCTTTCATTTTGGTGCGAAACTCCTAGATGGCCCAAACCTTTGAGAAATACCTATCTTATTGTCCAGTTCCATTAATTTAGTTGTTAAATGTAGTAAATAGGGCCAAAACTAAAAAATGGTATTGACGCATTACCCCTATATATAATATATACTTATGTTCTTTGGGACACTTAAATTTCTCATTATCTTCTTTATTATTTAGCTCCCATGTCATTGAAAAATAGTAAGTTTCATAAGAAGTGTAGTTAAAATTAATTGTTGTCTTCGACTTAAATTTTAATTAACATTTTTAGCTGAACTAAACATTGGCTTAGCCATCATGTCTTCTTCATAATATCATGGTGTACTTAGACATTTTTGCAAGATATGTATAAATCAAAATTTTGGAAGTCCAAATAATTGATGCGATATGTAATTAAAATTAAAAAAACAAACAAACATGCAACGTACTTCGTATCAATAGTATACTTCAAGGTTTTTTGTCGAACAAAGAGAGCAATATTAATAATGAGAAAGGAGAAAGAGGATGAACAAAAACATGTAACATATCTCAAGCCCACTTTGCCAAGAGAGACATAGATCCAGCGCCTAGAAGAAGAGAAATATTTGCACCTAATTGAAGCTTTCCATTGCTTTGCATTCTTGGACTCATAAAGTCAGCTGAAAGAAGATCTACGAGTGCCATATAAATTAAGATTCCGGCCGATGCTGAGTTAAAAATTCCCTCAACAATAAGAGCATCGGGACTGGTTTCACTATAAATGTTTGTTATTCCAATACCTATCACGATGCCTATTGGAGTTGTGAGAGAGAAGAAGAGGGCCATTATTGCAATTGCGCATGATTTAAACTTAGCCTGTAAATTAAGAACACAAATAATTAGGCTAAGCATTAAGATGCATTTAAAAGAATCTTTCCAAAAAGAATGAGGAATTAAAAATAAATAAATAAATGATCGATCGTAAAAATCAATATTCAAACCATTTTTTCCCTAAATAATGATTGTTGAGCAGGGGTTTAATATTACAATTAAAAAATAATTATTTTAAATCATGATATAAAAATAGTAACGAATTAAAATAAATGGATATAAAAAAAGGATATAATAAGAACTAAAATTTATTGTAGTAGAAAATGAAGAGCAAAATGGAAAATATGAAAACCTGAAAAAATTGCACTAAATGAAATACTGAGACGAGAATTATAAGTATGAATACCTGCGTTATGCATCCTCCTAACCCTATGCCTTCGAAGAACTGATGGAAGGTCAAAGCAGCAATTAAAGGCTTTATTGTTTTAGGACTTTCAGAAGCACCTAAGGCAATTCCAATAATTACAGAATGGACTATAATTCCCAACTCCAACACCTACAGCACAACGAAAATTAAGCAAGAAACCCCAAATTGAATAAAGATGAAAACATAGATGAATTGTTCTATTCTTCTTATCGACTTTTTAATATGGAAATCATGTCTTAAAATGGTATAAAAGTCCATTAAACCACCAATCGAGCGATTCGACCCAATTAAGACTCAAGAAATGAGCACAAAAATTTTAAGATTGGTATGCTCAAACGAATCACAATTTGTGTTATTCCTCTTGACAAAGTTGATCGGTTAAGATAGAATCCAAAGTCTTAACTAGTAACAAATAATTTCAGCTTCAAACACAGCAAACTTAGTAAATCAAGACGAACACCTGTGAGATTACGCGGTGACGAAGAAGTTGTGTTTCACCAGAATCAGTTTCCATCGATACTGCTCCATGTGCATGGCCATGGGTGGCATGAGTATGAAGAGGGACAACTCCTTCTTCGCCGGTAGGTATTTCCGTCTTGCCGCTAGATTTCTTGCTGTAATAGGAGGTTGCATATGTGTCCACCATAAGAGTCCCAATGGCGGCAACCATTGCGACAAAGCCCGTGAATGGAAAATCTCCCCACGGATGGGCACTGATACACGGAGATGTCAAGTTTTCGAACGCATCGGGAAGCACGTGGATGAAACCCGTCGACAAAATTACTCCGGCTGCGAATGCCTTTATAATAAAGAAAAAGCTTCTCTCTGGACTCAAAGCTGGTATCGTCTTCCCCAAAACAGGAAGACAAACCCCAATTGCACTGGCGACGAGGATTGAAGCAAGTGCAGCTAACTTATATTTGAGTGCTAAACTTTTGTTCCGATCTTCTTCGTCGGCTTCACATGTACATTCGCCTAAAACTGCAGTCGGAAGTAGTACGAGGAAAGCCAAGAAAACCATCTTGCAAATCCATCCACGCGGATATGACTGAAAATTCATTATGGGATAGTGGAGATTCAAGAATTTTACTAAAAAGTGAGTGTAATTTTCTATCAGAATGGTGGGTACTCTTTAAGGTTCTTGTGTACATCAATGTTTTGAAAACGAGTCGTGCTATATAGAATTATTCACTGAAAACTGTCATTGACTCAGAAAAGAGAGTCAATGAGTTATAGGAGTTTCAATCGGGTCGTTCCGAAAATTAAAATAAATTAAATAAAGTCTAATACAAAAATGTATTATTTACAAAAATAATTTATTATATGAATATATGCATTTTTAAGAAGACACTTCGTTTGTATGGAATGAATTATATGAGTAATATTTTTAAAAGTAAGGTAATTGATAATGTAAAAAAAAAAAAAAAACACTAAAATTGTTAGAAAATATTTGTACGAATAAAAGTTTAATGAAATTACATACATAATGTGAAAATATTGAATAAATTGAATTGTAATATTTTGTTTACTTATTTGTTTATGCTAGACAATGGGTGGACCTTATTTTCAACCATTAGAGTGATGTCGACCAGCTTTGTGGTTAGACGAGCACGAAAAATATTCGAATTTAGAGATGTATATTTGACTAAGTTTAAAACAATTACTTATGAGTAAGTTAAAGGTAAATAAATGATTTTTAAAATAAAAAATTATTCATTTTATCGGTAACATAAACTTTTTTACTTAAGTAAAAACAAAAAAGGTATATTATCTAAACACATTTAGAAAATTTTACATGCTAATCATGCTCATCATATTAATTCATAGCATTTATTTTAAAATTAAAAACCAAAGATACATTCAAAATAGATATAAAAGTGAAAAATCTTAAAATAAAAGTTTTCTTTTCCTTTTGAATGGGATTAATACAAATGGAGGAATAAAAATTTTCCTTTTCAATGTACCGAGATAAAAATCTTTTTCTTTTCTTATATATTTATATCTAATAAGTAACTAGATCACCATCAGTTTTTATGTTTTACCAAAATGAACATGCAACAATAATAAAATACTAATACTATTTTAAACACATAATATTAATTTTTATTAATACTTCAGAAATTGGTATTAGTGAAAAATGTGTAATTGAAATGCGAGACTTGTATTTAGTGGGGTTCATACACATATGGGTAGGGTAAGTAAGTCCGAATTATTAGGAGTAATTAGTAAGGTTTTTAAAAGTTCATGAAATTTGTGATTAAAATATTGATAAATTTATGGATCTAATGAAATGTGTAATAAAAAATTAATTTGAAAAAAAAAATAGGGATCAAATATGCATTTAACGTTAAATCAAATGTCGAAAATATCAACTTTTCAAGATGTTAATATTAAAAATCCAAAACTGATTTCTACATACTTTGCGTGACTATTAAACTTTGAAATTATTTCAAACCAGTCGTCTCATTTCTAGAGTTTCGCGATGGAGCTAAAATATCTATCTTTATTTATTTTTATTAAAAGTTTGCCGCGGAGAACCCAGGACCTGTCTGAAATGATTTATTTTTCAATTACGCGGTTTGTACATGGTTGGATGACAGCGATTTTGATAGTGGACATATGTGTAGAAATTTTCAAGTTTATATTGTCAACATCTGAATAAGAAAAATATTCCGCAAAAGTCAGTCAACTGTGGTGCAGCCTGCTATTGTCAAAGTCTGATTTTGTGGACAATAGAACAGAATCTTCCACTCACCATTCACCACACATAAATGATAAAACAATAATGTACATTTCTAATAATTATGATAAAATTTTATGAAATCTGTTATTAAACATTGATAAATTTGTGGGTCTGAAAGGTGTAATAAAATATTAATTTGAAAAAAAAAAAGGTTTTAAAAATAGGGATCAAAGCCTGCGTTTAATGAGAAATCAAGTGTCAAAAATATCAACTTTTCACGACGATATATAGAAAATTCAAAACTTATGTCCATATATTTTGTGCAATTGTTGAAGAAAAGTCGTATCTATCTTTATTTTTTATAAAAATTGGCTACTTCATATCGTAACCTTTGAGTGTGCAGAACTCAGGATCAGTCTAAGTTGTATTTGTTTTTCAATTATGCCTGTTGTACATAGCATGACAACAATTTTGATAGCTGACATATGTATAGAAATTTTTGTCATTAATTTAAAAATGTTTCGTAAAAAAAGGCTTGTAACCGGGCGTATAAACGCCCTAATACAAGTAGCTCGGCCAGTAAAAAAATATTGCGCACGAGGGGCGTGTATAGCTAGGTCAATGAAAAAATATCCCGCAAAAGTCAGTCAACTGTGTCGACATCAGAATAAGAAAAATATCCAGCATAAAGCCAGCCAACCGTGGTGAGACTGATTTTGTGGAAAATAGAACAGAGTCTTGCACTCACCATTCACCACACATAAATGATAAAACAAGAACGTACATTTTTCATTTTGGACGTCCAATCTACTGCTTGGTGACATGTAAATTAGGGATTAGTTGTCATTTTTATTGGAGGAGATGGGGATAGCAGATCTAAATTAATGATTTTTTAAAAGTTAATTGAGTTTTGAGAGAGCTTCAAATTTTTATATGCTTTAATTTAGGATAATAAAGTGTAAGGAAATACATAAATATTGTAAAATAATGAGATAATTATTTAGTATTATCATCATACATAGATTAATTTTATTTAATTTAGAAGATTTATTTCATTCAAATTGTAACTCTTATTTTGGACCATATAAATATAGAGCATTGATTCTTAATAATACATACTTGAATTTTGTTTTTTATATTCTCTTCTCTTTTTCTCTATCTTCATAATACATTATCAGCACGAAATCTTTCAAAGTCCAATGAAGATAGTAATTTTTTTTTATTACAATTACAATCATCTTTCACATGTACCAAAACTAATTTGATAGTATGTATTTTTCTACCTGCAAATAACATGTGTTTTTTTGCCAAAATTTGAATGTAAAATTGTACATGTAATCAGTTTCTTGTACTTGGCGTTGGTGGAATGTATTTATCAGTTTGTTTACTACATATGTTTCCATTTGTAAGCATTAATTTGGGCCATCATGTTTGCAATCATTGTGAAGTTTGTCCAAATTGTTATCCATTACAATGAACACGTGTTTTCGTATGCCATTAAATTTTCTTTTCACCACACTGTAAAACTATATAATATTTTAAAATTATATGCTACGTGTATAATTGTACTTTTATTCAAAAATTTAGTCTATTAAATGTATAATTCATAATTTGAACTACATAAAAATCTTTTCAATGCCAATCAAAATTGTTTATTGCATATCGTGCTGTGTTTCAAATCTTCTTTTATTAATAACTTTTTCAATTCCATTATGAATTGTTCACTGTATGTTAGATGTATTACATAAGCATTATTTATTTATTTTTATCATTTGAATAATTATCATGTTCTCATTCTTTTGCACATATATTAAAATTTATTAATTTTATACTTATGAACCTGTCTATTATGAATAGTTGTTATTGCTCTTAAAGTAACACAATTAATATTCCTAAAGAATATTAATCATTGATTTATCTATTATAAATAGTTTGTTGTTGCTTCTGAAATAAAACAATATTATAATTAATATTCTTGAATAATATTATTTGCTCATGAAGAGAATGAATTATATTTTTTTTCAATATTCTAGAAAAATATTGACATATTGTTCTTGAATAAGTAAGAGTAAAATACAACGTGCTATCGAAATAGCACATGTTTTGAAGAAATATTATTTAGAATTAGTGATTATCTCTAAAGGAAACACACATAAATTATGGCATGTTGATATTGACTATTTGATTAACTATTATGTGATGTTTAATTATATTCTTCGAAAATAATTGTATTTTCTTTTGTTTTATTGTGTAGTTAATCAAATGACAAAATCACAAAATTTGAGTTTACTGCGCCTGACATATTTGACAAAAATTATCCATCATGGATATTCGATTATGATATTCATTTTGTCTCAAAATGTTTGGGAGAGACAATAAAAGAAGGAAACAATGAATCCCTACAAGATTGCGCAAAAGCACTCACATTTCTTCATCACCATTTTCACGATGGATTGAAAATTAAATATCTCACTGAGAAAGATCCACGGGTTATTTGAAAAAAGTTAACTGAAAAATTTGATCATTAGAGGACTATAGTCCTATCCAAAGTCCGTTATGAGTAGATGTACCTTCATTTTCAAGACTTTAAAACTGTTAGTGAGTACAATTCTAAACTGTTCATAATATGTTCAAAGTTAATTTTGTGTGGAGAAAAAATCACATATGAGAAGATATGTTCGAGAAACTTTTTCCACATTTCACGCCTCGAATGTGCTCCTATAGTAGCAATATCGTGAGCGTGGTTTCAAAAAGTACTTAAAACTTATATCTTACTTGCTAGTTGCTAAACAAAATAATGAACTGTTGATGAAAAATCATGGGTTACGTCTAATTGGTTCTGTACCATTGCTTGAAGTAAATGGTATTACATTGTATGAAGTAAATGCAATATCAAAATAAGGACAAAAAACGTGGACTTGGACATGGACACGGATGTGCACGTGAAATAAATCATGGAAGAAATAATCAACAAAGTTGTAAACGATAAAGTAATAATTTCAAAAGGTACAAAACAAACGAAAATAGCACATCTAAAAAGGAGCACGAAGAAAGTTGCTTCAGATGTGGAATGAAATGACATTGGGCAAGTACCTGTGGTACGACAAAACATCTTGTGGATCTTTACCAAAAATCAATCAAGAAAAAAGGAAAAGTGGAGATAAATCTTGCTGATTATGATGGTCCAATTGATGTGACTCATTTAGATATCTTCGATTTCTTTACCGATCCAAATGGAAATATTGACCATTTGATTAATGGTGGTGTGACGGTAGATATAGATTAGTTTATTTATATTTCTAGTATTTTCCTTTATTTTAGAAATTTAAATTGAAATATATTTTCTACTTCTAGCAAAAAAAATTGAAACTTTATTATGCATTGTTACTTTCACAGTATTCAATTATGTTTACCATTTTTGAATTTAAATTCAAGATCTTTTTTAAATATATTTATTTTGTTATATTTATAGATTCATGATGGGTTGTCA